ACAGCATACCTGTATCCCTTGGATAAATACCTAGTAGTGTAATTGGTGGGTCGTAGGGTAGTTTTATTTGTAATTTTTTTGAGGAACCTCCATACTGTTGTCCAGAGTGGCTGCACCAGGTTGCATTCCCACCAGCAGTGCAAAAGATATCCTCTTTCTCCCCACCCTCACCAATATCTGTTGTTGCCTGAGCTGTTAATGTTAGCCATTCTGACAGGTATGAGTTGGTATCTCATTGCGGTTTTGAGATTTGCATTTCCCTGATGATGAGTGATGTTGAGCATTTTTTCATGTGTCTGTTAGCCATCTGGATGTCTTCTTTGTGGAAGTGTCTATTCATGTCTTTTGCCCATTTCTTCACTGGGTTATTTACTTTTTGAGTATTGAGTTTGATAAGTTCTTTAAAGATTTTGGATACTAACCCTTTATCTGATATGTTGTTTGCAAATATATTCTCTCATTCAGTTGGTTGCCTTTTAGTTTTGCTGATTGTGTCCTTTGCTGTGCAGAAGCTTTTTATTTTGATGAGGTCCCTATAGTTCATTTTTGTTTTTGTTTCCCTTGCCCCCAGAGATGTGTTGAGGACGAAGTTGCTGAAGCCAGGGTCAAAGATGTTTTTATCTGCTTTCTCCTCGAGGATTTTGATGGCCTCCTGTCTTACATTTAGGTCTTTCATCTATTTTGAGTTTATTTTTGTGTATGGTATAAGAAATTGATCCACGTTCACTTTCTGCAAGTCACTGTTCAGTTTCCCAGGCACCACTTGCTGAGACTGTCTTTATTCCATTGAAGATTCTTTCCTGCTTTGTCAAAAATTATTTAGTCATATGTTCGTGGATCCATTTCTGGGTGTTCTATTCTGTTCCAATGACCTGAGTGTCTGTTTTTGTGCCAATACCATAGTGTCTCGATGATTACAACTCTGTAATACATATTGAAATCCAAGATTGTGATACCTCCAGCTTCAATTTTCTTTCTCAAGATTGCTTTGGCTATTTGGGGTCTTTTCTGGATTCATACAAATTTTAGGATTGTTTCTTCCAGCTCTGTGAAGAATGTTTTTTGATAGGTATTGCATTGAATATGTAGATTGCTTGGGGTAGTATCAACATTTTAATGTTTGTTCTTTCAATCCAGGAGCATGGAATATTTTTCCATTATTTTGTGTCTTCTTCCATTTCTTTCATAAGCTTTCTATAGTTTTCAATGTATAGATTTTTCATCTCTTAGGTTAGGTTTATTCCTAGTTGTTTTATGGTTTTTGGTGCAATTATAGATGGGATCAATTCTCTTTTTATTGCTTCATTATTGGTGTATAGCAATGCAACCGATTTCTGTACATTGATTTTATATCCTGTGGCTTTGCTGAATTCATGGATCAGTTCTGTCATTTTTTTGGTGGAATCTTTTGGGTTTTTCATATAGAATGTCATGTTATCTGCGAAGAGTGAAAGTTTGACTTTCTCCTGGCTAATTTGGATGCATTTTATTCCTTTGTGTTGTCTGATTGCTGAGGCTAAGACTTCCAATACTATGTTCAATAATGGTGGTGAAAGGGGACATACCTGTTGTGTTCCTGACATCAGGGGAAATGATTTCAATTTTTCCCAATTGAGGATGATATTGGTGGTGGGTCATTCATATATGGCTTTTATCATCTTGAGGTATGGTCCTTCTATCCCTACTTTCTTGAGGGCTTTTATCAAGAATGGATGCTGTATTTTGTCAAAAGATTTTTCTGCATCTATTAAGAGGATCATGTGGTTCTTGTGCTTTCTTTTATTGATGGGATGTATCACATTGATTTTTTTGCAGATATTGACCCATCCCAGGAATAAGTCCCACTTGGTTGTGGTGAATAATTCTTTTAATGTATTGTTGGATCTGGTTGGCTAGTATCTTGTTGAGGATTTTTGCATCTATGCTCTCAGGGAAATTGGTCTATTGTTCTCCTTTATAGTGGGGCCTTTTGTCTGGTTTTGGAATCAAGGTAATGCTGGCTTCATAGAATATGTTTGGAAGTTTTCCTTCCAATTCTATTTTTTGGGACAGCTTCAAAACAATAGGTGTTAACTCTTAACATGTGCTCTTTTTAATACCCATCACCTGTCTAGCCCATCTTCCACCCACCTCCCTCCATCAACCCTCAGTTTGTTCTCTATATTTAAGAGTCTCTTGTGGTTTGTTTCTCTTTCTTATCTTTCCACCCCCCCTTCCCATATTCATCTGTTTTGTTCCTTAAATTCTATATATAAGTGAAATCATATGTTATTTGTCTTCTTGATTGACTTACTTCACTTAGTAATACATTCTACTTCCATCTACATCATTGCAAATGGAAAGATTTCATTCTTTTTGATGGCTGAGTAATATTCCATTATATATAAATATACACTATATATACTGCATCTTCTTTATCCATCCATCAGCCGATGGACATTTGGACACTCTCCATAGTTTGGCTATTGTTGATAATGCTGCTATAAAGATTGGGGCACCTGTGCCCCTTAGAGTCTGTATTTTTGTATCTTTTGGGTAAATTCCTAATAGTCCAATTGCTAGATTGTAGGGTAGTTCTATTTTTGTTTTTTTTTTTTTTTGAGGTAACTCCATTCTATTTTCCAGAGTGGCAGTAGCAGTTTGTATTCCTGCCAACAGTCCAAGATGGCTCCCCTTTCTCTGCATCTTCACCAATACCTGTTGCTTCTTGTGTTGTTAGTTTTATCCTTTCTGACAGATGTGAGTTGGCATCTCATCATGGTTTTGATTTGTATTTCCCTAATAATGCGTGGTGTTGGGCATCTTTTCACGTGTCTGTTAGCCGTCTTGATGTCCTTTTTGGAAGAGCATCTATTTATGTCTTCAGCCCACTTCTTAACTGGGTTATTAGTTGTTTGGGTATTGACTTTGGTAAGTTCTTTATAGATTTTGGATACTAACCCTTTATCAGATACGTCATTTGCAAATATCTTCTCACATTCCATAGGCTGCCTTTTAGTTTTGTTGATTGTTTCCTTCGCAGAAACTTTTTATTTTGATGAAGTCCCAGTAGTTCATCTTTGCTTTTATTTCCCTTGCCTTTGGTACATGTCTAGTAAAAAGTTGCTCCACTTTTATCCTCAGTTCTATATGTATAAAATGGGAATCATAAGACTTACCAGACGGAATTGTTGGGAACATTAAACATATTTTAGGACTGTTAGCAATGCTTGGCACATAGATGATGGTCATTGTATATTATCTATCATCCCAATTGAAAAAAGAATAATGTATTTTCTCTATTTAATTCTATACCTTTTGGCCATCTAAGGAGGCATTTTAGAAACAAGAGTTTTCCTGAAATCTTTTCACAGGCATAATAACTCAAACTATGATATTTTAGGGATGTAAATTTTATAACTGTGCATGAGACACCGTTATAGTTACTATTTGATATTTTGGAATGATATCCCAAATATCATTTGGGTGAATGTGGAAAGAAAATCTTAGGAGCTTGATTTTCTATATATTTAAAATTTCATCCATTTTAATTTCTAGTTAAACTAGTGTTTATGTTAGTACAGTGGTGTGATGTATATGATTTATAAATAAATAACAATATATGGAGGATGCCTGGTCAAAATTTCTTTACTGCTGCGGTGTGAGATCATCTATTTTAAAGACCATTCACCTGGAAGATAGTTTTTTACAGTTTCTGTGATTTGGAATGGAGGAAAGGTATCATAAATCTCACTGCCTGTCAGAATCACAATTCACTGAATATTATTTCAACATGATTATGCACAAAGTTTTATCATTCCTGTGATTTTCAATAACAGTATTGGTATATTTAAATGTTCCCACCCCAGTCTTTCTTTTAAGATTGATTGAAATAGGGAGCAAGGTGAAACATTTCCATATTTCACTGATAGTACCTGGGAAGATTTTTTGTTCCACTGTTTTGGAAATGGAGAGTAAAATACAGGATTCTGACTTTTTCTTTTGAAAAACCTGAGCTAAGTAATAGGGGAGAGCAATGTCCAAATTAACTCTTCTCCTTGTCCCTTTCTTCAATTCTTCATTGTAATAAGGCTATGTAGGAGATAAGGGAGATGTACTTAAGATTGGTGGTATGTAAAATGGTGTCAGGATTTAGGTGCTGGGAGTGATGCTGCTCGTGATGGTGGTGGTGGTGGTGGTGTGTGTGTGTGTGTGTGTATGTATACACATGCATGCTAATCTTTGAATGGGAGAACCTACATTCATGGTTCCTGGTGTCTGACGGGGTCTTTACAATGGACATTTATACCACCCATTTTTACCCTCATACAAGCAAAATAATGGAGAGTAGAATTTCTTGCCCTTCTCATGTAAAAAGATTTAACAAGGAGGTAAAGGGGGAGTTTTAGGCCCTTTGTTCCTTTCCCCCATTTCACAGATTATCAGTATTTTGTGAGTTCTTCCAGAAATTTCTATGTATATAAGGAAAAAAAATGTATGTATATACTCTTTTCACAAACCAGAATCATAATGTGCAAATAGGAATGATACTATGGATATTGTTATCTGAAATGTTTTTCCTTACTTTGTAATATAATTGGGGCATTTTCCATACCAATGTATATAGATTTACCAAATTCCTTCTACAGGCATGACATTCTGTTGTATGAGTTTACTGTAATAAGTTTAGCTACTTCTTTATTTAACACTGTAATATCTTCTGTATGTATCTTTAAACACTTTTCTAGAGATACATTTATAGAAATGGAATTACTAGTTCAAAATGTATGCATGTTTAAAATTTAGATCCAACAGGAGTGAATCAATTTATCCTCCCCTAAATGAGAAATTTTCCTTTTTTTAAAAAAAATCATATTGTTTAAATTTTACAGACAACAAGGCGTTTAATTTTCCTCTTCATTGTGATAGTGAGCATCTCCAAGAGGTCGTTTTATAAGCAATTACTGAAGTTAGGGCTCTTTACATTATATTGGTTCATCCTAAACTGTTTCTATACTTAGGGTTGCCAAGGAAGCCAGAGTGGAGGCTGTCGGAGGATGGGTTTGAGTGAACTTTGGCTGCTCCATCAAGCAGGCTGATTACTGAGGAAACATCAGAAGCTCCACCCGAATGACTCATCACCCAGATCCAACAGAGGTAATAGAATAACTTACATTGCACAGCCTTTTGGCTGTTTAGTCTGTTGTGTGAGATCAATGGTGCCCACGTTCTTTGCTGGATTTTGCTTTGGGAAAGAAATTTATTGGTTAGACCTTACATTACAATGCAGTCAGGGGCTTTGGGACTGATTGCCAATACTCAGAAGCTAGAGAAAAATTATTTAACATCTTGCCCTCAGGTAACAATATCTGCTTCATGGAGTTGAATCAGGCATCAAATTCTATGGGGATATACTACTGTCCACTGGGTTAACTATCGTTTGTGTTGTTTCATTATTTTCAGAGGCTTTCCTTTGTTTTGGATGGTGAAAAGCTTGTGGCTAGAGATAAACGAAAGTGGCAATTTTAAGAGGCAGGTGAAATAAAAATGTGACTGATCATGTATGTGGCTTATTAGATATAAAGTATACAATATAGTTTTATATAGGTAGTGTTACCTGAATTGTGCTCATGGGCTATAATTATGATTTTAAAGTTTATTACTGTCTTTTCATGAAGTTCAGATGGTCTGACTAATTTATATTCTCTAAACATTTCTTGTTTTACTTTTTCATCAGATTCTGCTTTTAAAATTCACTGCATGGTCTCTACAGACAAGAAGCAAAGGTTCTGCACGGCTACAGCATTTCAGTTAAAAGACAAGGAATCTACATTTTCTTTCATTTTGCTCTTAGACAGCCAGTATGTTTTATAGTCTCCCACATACTTTTCTTTTCTCAAACACATTTTCAGGCTTAACAGTATATTTTTTAAAAGTCAGAGAATTTTCAGGTAATAACATTTTTGAATACTACAGACTTTAAAAGAAATGTTAGTAATTAAAAAAAAATCTCACATACAAAGCCAATTGCCCTATCTATCTGAAAATTATACCTACCCATTTGCCAGTTGCATTATTACAGAATTGCTAATATTTCCTACTTTTCAAAAGCATTAGAATAAACTTGCTTGGAGGTGATGTTATTTACTAAAAATAGAGGTATATATTTCTTTATGTTGGTTTAAAATTGAAGTATATTTTATGTAAAAGGAGATATTTAAAGGTTAATCTTAACAGGGAAGTATTTTCCTATATAAATATATCATAACTTCACACTATGTAATTTTGGAGTTTTTCCTAATGATTTATGGTTTTGAGAACTGTGGGTCTTAGTTAAAATGTAATGACTTGAAGAGTTTTTTACCTTTCACTCTGAGGGTACATGGACCAAAAAAATCATGTCTCCTAGTATTCATTGTACTGCATCTACTCTGGTCAAATGGAATCATCTACTTCAAAGGTTATTGTGAGAGAAAAATTCAAAAAGGATAAATTGCATGTAATTGTGGTAAAGAATAAGCTTTTACTGATCAGTTAGAAAATACCAGACACCGTGCTTGTGTAATCAATGATGGGTTAGTAATATTATTTTGTATAAGAAAGAACATTATTAAAATGTATTAAATTGTTCTGTACTGAAGGGCAAAAGAGCATTGTGTAATCTCTAATTCCTGCCAGAGAGACTTTTTCACTGGGTAGAACCATTTTTATAGTCCATTCATGTATTCAACCAGCATTTATTGAAGCTATGTTTTTCTTATGTACCCTACTAGGAACAGAATTTTGGGGTGGTAAAAAAATCAATAAAACACACTGCCTTAAGGATTTTCAAGCTTGAGGATGGGAGAGTGTAAAGAAGCAATCATGTAAACAATAAATGACAATACAAAGAAGAATGAGAAGTAATGATTGAAAGGTAAAAATGGCATCATAATAAGAGCTAATATTAGTATGATGTTACTAATTGCCCAGTGTTAGCTAAGGTGGGTGTTAGGTCATTTCCCCAGCATCCATTCTCCTCTTCTCCCCCATGCTCTTACTTACTGTGCAGTTTATGAATGGAAAGATGGGTTTGCAATCCCCTCCCTAATCCCCACTCATATGCTATAGTGATTGATCCATTTGAGCAGATTCATTCATCTGAACCAATCGAGGGATTCCTCTGCTCTGGGCAATGGTAAAGAATGGGCTTGTTATTCATATCTGGACAATAGCACAGGAGAGTGTTTGAAGATCTCTGAAAAAGTTCTTCACTCTTCTGGGAGAGTTTTTTGAAGTGATCATTTTGTTTACTCCCTTGTTTTGGATGAGGAAGCCTCTAACTTAATGAGAGCCTCTCATACTTATGGGGGAGAACAAGGCTTAGGCTGAATCTGATACCTTCGAATGAAGAGCAGAGGGAGAGAGAAAGAAATCAGATCCTTGATTCTGTGGTGGAACCACTGAATCAAATCAAGCCTGAAGCCTACCTTTCTTCTGGACTTTGAGACAAGTGATAGTCTGAGTTGGGTTTTCTCTTACTTTCGACCAGTCTAAATTATATCCAAGAGTTATCATTTTCAATCTTCATAGTAACCCTATGAAATAGATATTATTTTCATCATTTTAAGGATGTGGAAACTAAGGCCTAGAGTGGTTAAATATCTTGCTCTGAATCACAGAAGCAGTGCATGGTGAAGACAGGCCTTTGCCTATGTAGTTTCATCCAGAAGCCACAGCCCTAAGCACTGCATCCTACTGCTCCCAGGCTTTGGTGATGCAGAGAGAATGTCAGTCAATTATAACAATGCCAGAAGCATTGGATCTGGGCCTGTAAGTGGAGCTTAAATCAACAAAATATGGAACTGAAGCAACAGCTTTGGAGTACGGGAGATAAAGTAGCTGTGGCAGGGGTCTAGTTCATGTGTAATCTCTCAGGGGGATAAGAGACGACAAGGCCAACCAGGAAAGCTGGAGTGGGGGGCTCCCCCAGAGATTAAAAAAAAAAAAGGGTGAGATCAGGAGAATGGCCTAATTAGACAGGGCAAGTTAAAAGTAGGGAGAAGTCCTTGAAAGGAAATAGTGAAATAGTAGAGGAAGCAAAAATATTGAGAATGATTGTGACCTACTTCAAGGTTCCAAACATCGGGATGATAGGGCTAGGGGTGGGTTAGCAGGGAGAAAAAAGATGACATCATCAGGATGTCTGTACTGTATTATCATAATTAGGGGAAATCTAGGCTTCGGTTTAGAAAAGAACTTAAAGGAAGTGTTGCCAGAAGGTTCGAATGAGAATGTGTGCCTAAGGAATGTGTCGACAGAAGGGTAGCTAGAGGAATCGAGGGGAGTTGGGGAGAAAACAAGTGTGAAGGGCTAGCGGGCTGGAAGCAGGTGCATTTCAGTCAATGTATCAAAACGAACAAGGTGGGGAATTGTGGGAAGGGAAGAGGCTGTTTCCAGATTGAACTGCTTCCCAGGTTGTATTTATATATGTGGGCTGCTTCATAATTCTGACTCCCAGTGCATCACATCCTGTGGGCAGAAGGGAACGAGGTGGCCATGGAAACCTGAAAAACCTCAGACAATATTAATATTCACAAACATATGGAGGCTGCAGTTCTTTAAAAACAACAATAACATCAGCAGTGGCAGCGGCAACAACAACAACCATAGTAATTTGTAACTCTCCCCCCCCCCCCGGAGAACCATAGAGCTGCATATATTATTTTTTAATAATCAGTGACAAATTAACTAATTGCTACAATCCTTAAATCTGTTTTTCCCTTTAGCTTGTCATTATCTGCAGATGTCAAAACAAGTAAAATAAATGGACTGGATTTCCTTCAGATGTTTGTTGATAATAACTGTTCTCCTAAAAAAATTAAACAAGCAAAAAGCTCCTTCCTGGGTTGTTACTTTGGAATGTCTTTTTTATCTTTGAATTTCTGGTAGAGATTTTTAGACTCTGCCTTTTTCCTTTTCTGAATCATCAAATCCAATGGTTCACCTGGAGAACTAGTTAAAATTCACTGTGGGAGCACAATTAAAAATGCACTTTGCTTGTCCCTGTCTTAGAGATATGGGTTCATTAGTACTGGAGTAGGGCCCAGGAATCTGAATTTTAAATGATCTCCCCAGGTGACTCTGATGCAGGGGTACTAAGTAAGACTGTGAGAAACAGTTCAAGTCTTCTTGGAAGGCTTGGGGCTGGAGCTTAAGATAGGGAAGTATGTGACTCTGCTCTGAAAGTTGTTTTAGTTCTTTTTTTTCTAACCTTCATTACTTTCCTCTTCACCAATAACCTTTGGTCTTTGAGGTACAGTGTTATGAAAAACACTCAGGCACTGGAATAAAGTCTGAGTTAAGGTGAACCCTTGAAAGAGGCAGGTAAATTCATTGTCTCAGTTACTCCATCTGTGAGATTTTTTTCAGAATTCTAGAGATGACATTCAGAGAGTGCCTTGTTTAACATCTGATACATAATAAGTGCTAAACCTTACTGTTATTATGACCTTGATTTCTACTTTGCACTAACCTATTGCACCGGCCTGTGGGGTGCCCGCTCTGTTAACTTAAGGAGGATCACATGGGATTGTGTACATACTAGGATGGATTTTCTGTTCTTTTACTACCCTGTTTCCCTTTGGCTCTGAATTAAGGCCCATCAGTGAGTTGGTGAGCGCAGACATAGGTGAAGAAACAGGAGTGCTACCACACTGACAGCAGAGCAAAGAGCGTGCATGCAGGGAGATTCTCAGATGCTCTCATCTAATGTGGGGTGCTAAATAGGAAAAGCACAAGGCAGAATAAAGGTATGGTGTCTGTCTACATTTGTGTTTTTTGTTGGGGGCAATAAGCAAAGAAATTAGACCCTATTATCTGTTTCTAGCTGCCTTTCCTTCTTAAAAATTAACAAGGTGGGTTGGATGGGGACAGAGGTTAGGAAAGGATTTTCTTGTTAGAATTGTCCCTACTGTGTTCCCTGTGTATACTATAGACAGAAAGACTTGAAGAAATGATGGAGTGAAGTCATGCTCTAAGTTCTGTGTGTACTTTGCTGTGCATGCCACAAAACCTGTTTTGGCATGATAGGGCTTTCTAGTTCCACAATTATCATCGGACAGGGATACAAGGTTAGAAGTAGATGTTTTAATTATTTGCTTGTGTTGTAGGAGATCATTAAGAGGATGTAAACTCTAGCTGACCTGAGAGCTGATTTGGGCAAATGGAACCTCTTCAGCCTCTCCCCTTGAGATGTACGTCCTGCCCACCATTCCTCCAGCTGGCCCTGTTTTCAAGGCTGCAACCTTGAAAGAGCAATGCGTAGTTGATGGTACATGTGACTGAGCCTAATTAAGGCCCGTATATAAACTTTTAAGATTCTGGCAGGCCAGTGTGGAGATCTGCTTGTCTCGCAGCACCCAAGACAAGCCTTATATGTAAGTTCCCTTGCTTATTGAAATGGCCACTCACCAGTCTGGAGGGGTCTGTTTCTTTGGCCACTCCTTGCCCTTAATGTGCAGGGGCCAGTTTGTAAACGAACAGCTTGGATCATAGATCCCCAAAAGAGAATTTCTTGGAATTGTTAATATGTTTCTTTTTTTTTTAATTTAAAAGATTTTTATTTTATTATTTTACATCTAAGGGAGTTAGCATATAGTACACTAATGATTTCAGGAGTAGAATCCAGTGATTCATTTCCTACATATAACACCCAGTGCTCATCCCAGCAAGTGTCCTCCTTAATGCCCCTTGCCCATTTAGCTCATCCCTTCATCCACAGTCTTCTCCAGCAACTCTAAGTTTGTTCTCTATATTTAAGAGTCTCTAATGTTTTGTCCCCCTCCCTGTTTTTATATTGTTTTTGCTTTCCTCCCTTCTGTTCTAAAATTTTTTAAATATATATTTTAAAAATTTATTTTGATAGAAAGACAGAGTATGAGCTGGGGATGGGTGCAGAAGGGAGAAGCCAAAGCAGGCTCTAGGCTCTGAGCTGTCAGCACAGAGCCTGAAGTGGGGGTCGAACTCAAGGACTATGAGATCATGACCTGAGCAGGAGTCAGATGCTTAACTGACTGAGCTACCCTGGTACCCCTTAATGTATTTCTTAATGCAGTGACACCAAGGGGCTTTAATTGTTTTGCCATAGATTGCAAATTGGCTGCTGTGTGGAAACCATTTTAATAGGTGTGTTTCCATTTAAAAAATTAATTAATCAATCAATTAATTAAGACATTTTCAACATATATGTTTTTGTTTTTATGACATTGACTTTTGAAGAATCCAAGAAAGTTATCTTGTATAATAGTCCACATTCAGGAGTTTTTGAAAGCATTTTAAAGGACACTTACATTGGGCCCTTTTATTTCCGAGACTTTGGTAGGAGGTCACTTGTTAATCTGTGGTTATTAACTCCAGGTGAGAATGAATATAAGGTCTGAGGCATTTGCCCATGGTATGATACTGGGGATTTGTCTCACAAATAATTATTTTGGGAAAATCAATATTAAATCCTTTTTTGTTCTGATCCTACAGGAAAGTTCAAACTTCTTCCAGCTTTAGACTTTAATATAGAAGTAGAATATCTTGTCTAGTATGCCAACTTTGCTTGAATTGTATTTTTATATGGTAACCTGTAAGCTAATATAACAGCAATTAATTTATGAAGCAAAGTAGTTATTGTCTTAAGACATTTCTCTTCTTTCCAAAGAAAACAAATAAAACAGAAAGATAATTTAAAAGGGCTAGAGTTTCATTTGCTTAATTCCTTAAATTTTGGGTTCTGACTGAGGGGAAACAAGTGGACCATGAAATGTTTGACTGGATGAGCCTGCCTTCCTTCTGATTAGTTAGTTCATCTAGTAAGGACGACCATCTATGTGGTATGAGTGCACTTTAGAAACATTGCCTCATG